GCAGCTTCTCTTCGCGTCAACACGAAAGCAAGCCCTCGATGATCGGATTCTGTTAGTGTCAAATCTGACACTAGCCATCATCGTTGTAGGACGGAACGCCCCGATACTTTATAAGCCCAACGTCTAGCAACATTTATCACTTACAACGTTTAAGACATGTTCGAGAGTATCATTGCTCCTACTAATCAACTGGCAAAGATGGCACTATACTATTTCTTGTAAAGGGTAAAAAGGAATACGCCGAGTGAAACATTGCTTTATAATGAACCTGGCCGATTTACTTCAGAATAAAATTATGCTCTTGAGCGGCGACTGTATCCATCTATTGCTATAATGGAGAAATTAATTCTTTATCCATTTACATAAAATCATTTTTCTCGCTGGTTTGTATAGATAACCGTCTCAAACCTTATTTTCAAGGTTACTGATAGTTACAATTTGGTGTCATTAATTAGTAAAAACATAATTTTTAGTGTACAGTCCTACATCGTCCTCCTGATTAAATAAGGCCAAGGATTAAGATTCTGTTGTATAAAATATTATGTATGATTATTTTGTAATAAAACTACATCTGATCATGAGTGGGTTGATACCACATAGTGGCTCTTAAAGTGTGTTATAACTACTCGAATACAGTTAGCAGACGACGAAGCTTGAGTCGCGTTAAGTATACACATATATAACCCATATAATAATAAAGTTTCTTTAAAGAGACTTCTATAGATTATAGTCGAAATTAAGGAAAGCGTTGATACTTGCCACGTCCATACGGTCCGTACTACCCTTCCCGTTAGTCACTCCTGAAATCAACCAGTTTTCGTATCGGCCCGATAACGCAGAACATCGTAACAGCTAATCCATGGTGAAGAGGATGGTACTAGGGTTGGCAAAAGGTCAACCCTTCTACAAACTCGTGTGGATAAACTAGTAGCAGTATGTGCACATATCCAATAAAGCTGACGGTGAGAGGAGGCCCAATCGGCGAATGCAAAATGAGATGGCCATCGAAGGCCACACCGATCCAGTGACTCCTACATTTAGTGAACAACCCAATAGCTTTCTGCTACAGATAGACATGACCCCAATTATTTTCGCATAATAACAGTCTTGGATAGTACAACGTATCAATAATTAGAGAGACTATCATTTGGGAGTTACGTAGCAGCCATTAGTGGGACGTAAATTGATGCGAATTATGCATTCAGTGTCCAAATGTCAACTTGTCCAAGACCATTCCGCTCCTGTTACAGGCGGACGTCAATACACGCAAATACTCAATCAACGTATTTACTTAATTCGTACACGTTAACCACTTAGATTATCGTAACGCACAGGACACTTATCATCGTTGCCGAAAGAAGAATATAAACACCCTATATTTACTAGCCATTAAATGACACGAAGCCTTTCTTCTTGTGGTCGACGTCGTTAACGTTATATAAATAAAAACTATTCACGGTATATACTTTATTAGTAGAAATAACAGTTCACTTTCACAGGAGGCAAATTCTCCCATTCCCAACTTCTTGGACTACCTAGTCAGTGATGTCTGAGTCTCTCGATTATGTTTTATGGTAACGGTAGCGGTAGTACTCCTGCAGTGACATATTTTATGTCTTTATGCATTTATAAGCCAGTTTCATTTTGTTCATCAAACCAGGAATTTCGGAACTATAAAGGGAAATCTAATATATTTCATTTGGATAGCATAAGGTGATAAATCAGGAGAGAACAAATCCAACTATATTGAGTTCAACGAAGGGCTTACAGCCTGGTATGCATAGACTACACCTGGTAAGGCTAAAAGTAAAGTGATCACAACCGTTTCTAGCAGACATGACTGATTTGTCAATGCTCAAATCTCCAGGAGAAGACGGCTGATATTAAAGACTCGCTGTTTTACAAGAGAATCTTCCCAGCATTGCTAATGCTCAGCTGGGAAGTTCAAGTACGTTGGGTATTTCTCGATTTAAAAGAAAAAAAAACACTTTTAGGGTTTCAAAGTGCCAGAAGTACAAGTAGACACTATCAGCCGTATAAGCCTAACTAATGTCACACAATCAGCAACCATCAATTAACACACGAATCCGGTGGACTTAGAAATTGAATAACTTGTTTAACTCTAATGATAAATTGTTTGGCCTGCGTGATGATTTTTTTTCAATATGTGTTACACTTCTCCATCCAGCTCTCTGGCTGATTTTGGACAATTAGACACCCACCATTCGCCTTCCTATATGTAATTTGTTTATCTGCGGCTTTTTAAGGTAAGTCGATAGTGGCACAGGCTTATCTAGGGGCTGCCCTTTTGGCAAGTCATGGAAAACCCCGTGATCAGACAGACATATACAGAAAAGATGGGCGGGTTAAAGTCAACGATGGATACTCCCCTGCCCGATCCAAAACGTTACTGGGACGTGATGATAAGGTATGGCATTATCACCAGGTAATTAAATGTCGTCCTTTCGACTGCCAACAGCTCATAAGTCAGTTTTGACCAGCGAAGCCCCTAAACAACAAGCTCTGCCTTCGTTTCCCAAAAGTCTCCTTAATTGCTACTATGCGTTTTTGTCCTTCGGGTCTCAACATCAGGCCACCTTCTTGTTGGCCTTCAATACTCCGATCTTCATCCTTGAGACGTTTGCACAATTCACGTCGACTGTTTTCGCATAAGGCATCCCAAATCTGTCATGAAATAGCGCTGCGGTCTTCGAATAAAAAAGCTTGATGACTAAGTGTTGATTTTCGACATTAGATCATTTACAAATCAATTCATCCTAAAGTACCTTTAATGTAAATAAGTGCGGACGAATCATCTTCGATGCGATGTATCGAAAAGCCACAGAAAAAGTAAACCAGACTGACAGAAAATATTTTCTAATCTATTAAAAAAATGCAAGTTGATCATTTTGCTTGAAGCACAGCGGACGTATTTGACATTATAGCCAGTAAAACCAATATACCTATGCATTTTTGTACTTTACCACAACACATGCTTTATATTTTTATTCCTCGTTCAAAATATTTGTCTTTTCATGAGCTAACTGTGTGACCTTATGCCCATAATATTCTATATATAGCTTAACAACAACTATACCGGTATCTTAGTGTCCGTGAGTCCTAAGTTATTTCTGTCACTCTTCATAGTGGCGACGGTACATATTTCTAAACGACACGTACATGAAGCTCTAGATTCCTTAAATAGTTAAAAAGAAAAGAGACAAGAATATATTAATTGTCTTTATTTGTTATCATTCTATAAAATCCTAAAGAAAACCATTAACAGATGTTACTAATATATGATAAAAAAAAAATTGACAAATTATGTTTTTGATATTGCTAAGTCAGCTTAGCATTAGTTGCACATCTAGACAAGCAAAACAGGTCATGAAGAACAAATATTGCTATGAAAAAATGCCCTTTTGGTAAAAATGTTTCAGAGTACATTCCCAAATATAATATAGAACAGTGTGACACAAGGTCCACTGAAACCAAAACAACACTGTCCTGGTCGCTTGAATCTTACCTGTAAAACAAATAAATATTACATATGTAGCCCGTAGAACGCGTTCTTCCTCACTCGAAGCAAAGTCATAGGCATCCATAAACGCTGGTGTCGTTGCTACTACACGCGTCTGTATGTATCGTGTATTGGCGTATAGTACAGAACGTGGCTGTCATCTGCTATAATAAACGCTCGAATCTCTCCACAGTTGCTGGTGAACCACTAGTGACTCACTTGATTTAGACGATCGACCAAAGAGCTCTTTATTGTCTCATACCCACACTACGTTCCGTTGCTATGTGCCGAGTCACAGTCGCAAGCTTCACGTGTCGGGTCTTCGTTCTTTCAATCGAACGAATTTCTACTTCGGCCACTTCGTTACTCTTTTCATTACAGTTTCTTTTTTGGGAGCAGAAAGAAATGCTGTTTTAGAGGAAGTTGATTATTTGGTAACTATAAGGTAAATAAATCTTGCCTACGAATAGTAGTTTCGCTGGTACAGAAGAAAGACTGGTTATTTCTTATTTAAGATAAAAAGAAAAATTTAGTTTAATCTTCGAAGGAGAGATCTCAATACTGTTTTTAACTATGCAGGGTAGCTATGTATATGTTTAGTTTATAGTACTTTTTTTCCTCTCTATGCATTTATTCACTGTAATTGCTATTGACTCGGGTCACTATTCTAACTAGGACTCTGAACAGCTGTTTGTCAAAATGTAATTTCTGAAATCGTGAGTACCCTTTTCTCATAATAACTGTCAGTGAAAGGAAACTGATAAGTAAAGACATTTCGAGGCATTACGCAAGCGGGCCACATGAAAAAAAAACCCAGCGGAGTTACATCTTGAGCTGACACTAGTCCTAGACTCGAAAATCGGCAGGTTTATGAACGCAAAAGGTGTAGGGGGCCACGGAAAATCAGGAAAAAGGGTAGCGTTTGTAGCTAACATATGATTCCATTTCAAAAACAACCACTATTATTTACATAGTAATTTTTAATTTTTTTTTTTAATGGTTTCTTATGCTCGTTGCTACCCTTCCAGCAAGGTTCCTAACGAATATTCTGTATCGACGTATGGAAAGCTTTGCGTGAAGAGTATAATGATTGGCCCCCGCATAGACCGTCGATTTTAGACATGGTAAGTTACATGCAAGCAAAGACACTGAACGATAGCTGCTCTCTGTTCATATTGCGGAAACAAAACTCCTGTCTCCGCTATAATAAAAAATAACTGGCTTTTTTCTTGCACCAAAAATAAACACGTGCCCGTTATGACAAAACGACCAGCATATTGCGCCCAATTCATACTGGCCATGTTTCGTAAATCAATCAAAATAGATAGCTACGGTAGCGCAGCAATAAATAGTAAAGCGCTGGTCATATGCACGATCTTAAATTAAAAAAAACTTTTTATATTTACATAGGATCCTATGATGTTTGAAGATATTAAATTAGAAATGTTTTTATTCTGATACATTTATATAGTATCATTTCATCATGTTATGTATAATCAGCTTGTGCCTCTGTGCTTTCATCAACCATGTTTTAGAAGGGAAATATTAACATACATAGATATTAAGCGATCTGTGAGAATGGCCTTGCCTACCAGCTAATACATATGATTATATTGTAAATTTATAGGCACTATATTGTGCGTATGAAAGCTAGCAGAAATCACTGTCAGATTTGGTCAGAGGCAATCAAATATTTTTCGGTGGCGACTATAGATAGACAAACGGAATTCGGGCCGAAACTCATCAACCTTGTACAACAGTAAAAAACGATGCTCGATAGTTTAATCTACGCGCGTCGACGACTACAGAAGGCACTTGTCGAGTATGGTTTCGTGTTATTATATCTTGTGTGTTTCTCGTCCTTTTACAATATGATATGTCGTTTAGCGGTCACCGCCGGTATCGCGATTTGAACTTTGGGCAGTTGAGGGTACGGTACCATCATACACAGACGAAAATTGGCGCCACTTCGGAGGACAACCGAAAAGAGCTCGTTTGCGAAATTGAGTCAGAGTTTCGAATTTTGTCTTTCATCAGATAAATTACATTATAGCATACAGAAAGGACCGTATTGATGAGTCATTTGACCAATGCATGTCAACTGCATTTTGTCGCTTCACACCTACAATGAGCAACGAGGGGCCGATGACAACAACTGCGTAATTTACAAATTCAGAGTCTATGATAAAAAACTAATAGCGGCTGCTTAATTGTTACAGACGAACTAGGAACAAAGACGCCGATACCTGTAGTGATTCAACATAGCTGACCTTTTACACAGCGACCTAACAAATCTAAGGTTGCGGAGAAAAAAACAGGTACGATCTAAACACTGTGAAACATAACCACTAGCTACCCTTGACTTGACCTAAAGAGCGCCACCCGTTACGTTTTGTTCTAAGTGCTATTGCCTTTTGCAATATGGAGTCATCCTATTAGGACCAATGAGCTGGTATAGCACATACGTGCTCACGCCGATAATTTAAAGATTTGTGGTTACACGGCAAATCATTACTATTGCTAATTTTATCAATCAAGAAAAACTGAATTCCGTCCTGTGATCGTATACGATATACGCAAGCCATATAGAACTGGACGGGCGAGATCTGTATTCTTAGACGAATATTGTGTTTCTGTTTTCTCAGCTGCTTACCAAGTAAATTATTTGCGATTTTTGCTAACTCTCCTAATATTAAACAAGTCCTTTCCCCAAGCAGCTTGTTAAGATGACACGTATACTTTCGACTATATGGGGCTCCATATCACAGGCAGACACTCGCAATACAGTTTCTCTTTTACAAATATTATTTATCATTAGTTGTCGCCTATGTACAATACATAGATACATGTTTGTTTACACGTTTGCTAACCTACAATTGTGTAACCTCAACTAATATGTTAGCATCAATTACAGATGTCGTCGATGTCACTCACTGGGTTACTGGCCCAGCTTTCCTGCTATAGCGGACGGAACTTGTGTCCTCCTTGTCAGGTCTCAATCGGTAATTATCAACCGGATGTCTAATCGAACAAGTAAGCGAATGCCGGATACTGTTTTCTCCTGTAGGACACTGGCAGCGCTATAGGACGAGCCGATACGAATTACGCGATACGTCGATTACGCGTCAGGCAGAAATATTAGCAGGTAAAAGACAGCACTGTTACTTCCCAAATGCCAGTTACTTTAGCTCCATAGTAGCATTTTGTGGTGCTTACGAGACCAGACACTTAATAATAGCCTTCTGTTTTATATACTCTTCCTACATATGACATGTGAGCGGCGCTATTGTAGCATATGTGCTACTGTGTCGTGTTCCTGTTTTACTAATAATCAGTCCTTTACTATATTTTTTTTCTACTGAAGGACTATTAGTTGTTGTAAATACATACGTGTGAACGAAGCAATATTGGACCGTGACGGATAACAGCGTCATATACTACGCAGACAATGAAAGCAGGACAAGTCAATCGTGATTGATATATAACGATAACAGTATAGCTCAATTCCTATGGACGAGCATCTGCCAGCCACGTTGTGATTACACAATCGTCTTACGATGATGATAACAATAAGCCAAATCTAGGATATTGGAGAAATGGGTTGGCACCGGTGATAGTTGATTAGTACCGAATCTCTTCCTTGATTTTATATTCGTGTTGGGCGGATCGAGTTATTGTTCCGCTTAATGGCTAAGGCGACCATCTGCTTTTGGACAGAAGGAGACGACCTACACGCCCATATAGTTTGATAAATGGCTACCACCTTAGAAATAATGAGCCTGATAAAATGTTTTTTAAAAACCAGCAGTTCAAATGACGTATTGTAATAGGAGCAATGTTTGACAATAGATAGTTCAGGAGAAAAATTCTAAGGTATTATTGAAAAGATACCACTCCTGATTCCGCTCTTGCGCATACATAATTACATGTTTCCAGCGGGTAAACGCGGTACAATCTTAGCGAACTCGCACGTTAACAGTGTTTTATCGGCCGCTAGTATATCCACCACGGTTCCGGTGCGTATCCGCACATTCTACTTTACAGTTACTGCAAATGTTGGCTTGTCCGATGTATTTTAACAGGCCAGTAAATGACTGAATTAAAAGCGACACTGTGGCCTGTAGCTGAAAGAGCCGCTGATTCCAGCTGTATGTCGTCTGCTAAAAACACCTGATATACTATCCATACAGGCACTGTTGATTATAATATAATAAACATATATCACGGCACCTTCAAATGTAATGCCACCTTACCTTTACATACATAAGTGCAATATTGTATGGTATCTTTCTGTGCTTGCATAAGTATTTATCTATTCGTTCGGTACGGGCCTATTTTGACCTGGCTCCGATGATGATTATTACTTTGTTGATAATTGCTTACTGCACTGATAAAGTTAGCGACAGCCGTAGCCATAAGAGTAAGAGAATTTTGATTGGTAACAGATAAACAAACAATCGGAATGTAGCCACAAAACGGTTCTGGGCTCGAACACTGACGAGTAAACGACCGAGATTGTTTATCTGTTCCGCTTAGTTTCGAGCCTGTTCCTACCACTAATCAACAACAACAACTACTACTACTTACTTACCTTACGACGCGTTCCATCAAGCGTCCAAGTTAACCCTACATGGGCGGACTGCCCACCCAGCGACCGAAGTGCGCTATACATATCTAGTCCAATCTATTTATATTCACACCGGCAGAAGGACAATAACGCCAAACACAAACAACAACTATGTCAGTATTAAAGGGAACTAGATTAGAAATTTAAGTGGGAAAACTAATTTCGTGGTTGATTAGACACGAAGAATCGACCAGGTACACATCTGCATGCAGATGACAAAAAAAAAAAACAAAGCAACGGCAATAATCATAATAATTCTAGCAAAAAAATTTCATCAGACCCCGCTAGCAGCGATTTACCACCCTAGCGACCACCAATGATTGATGGTATCAGAAAAAATCTACCATGCAATTGTAGTATGTTAAATCTAATATCGACTAAGAATCAATAACGACATTCTGTACTTTCAGTCCGGTTTGTCCAGTAGTAATAGTTACCTAAAGAGTGGAGATAAAAAGCCCCGTTTCTTCTGGCCAATCTACAGCCGCGTATCTCTTCCAGCGTTGTCCTACCTTAAATAAAGACCTTGTCAAAATGGTGGATGCATGGGGTGGCACGAGGGAGAGAAAATGACGAGGTTGAGTGAATGCAGTCAAATTAGCGGCAGGTTGATTTGCACGTTTACTGGGATGAAACACCATTAACAACCGGAAATTATCATAATTAAGGCTTCTAATGTGTAGACCCTTTTCACTGTTGGTGAATGGGGATAGACGTGTTACAACGTCGCAGGTGTCACTAGTATTGGTTGACAAACAAGGACATATACTGTTAATAACGCGAAATGTAACTTTTCGAATTATGATATATAGGGGAAGAGAGAGGTATCTTCACAAGTTTTCTATGTAGGCCCGGATTGGCACAAAAACATTTAGCTTCTGTACCGGTACCGCTAAACGAACAGATAGGTTTAAACAAGTATAAATTTCATAAGCTTCTTCAAGATCCCATCAGTGTCAGGGTATTAATATGCGATTCATCATGCTTCAACAGGTAAGCAAGGGCAAATTTTCATTTGAATGGCCTAAGGCTAGGCCGCCCAGTATAAGTCATGCGGCAGAGGTATATTCGTCGCTTGTTTGTCCTAATGTTCCTAATTCCAAGGACAACACACCTCAATTCAACCTGTTCATGTACTAATATATAGATAAACACGAGTCAGAAAAAATATCCACTATTCAGAAAAACGACAGCAACAACCTCTCATCTCTGGTAATGCAGCCGACTATTTGCCGTAGACGTTTTTCCACAACGAACTGACCAGTAACCGAGCAGACAAATACGCATTTACTCTTCTACAGATAACTATGATGGTAGATAGATAAATACGCGTTGAAGATTGAAGTACGCTTGCAGACGACGCGTGCAGACTGCCTCTGACATTTGGTGTGTTCGCCTACCGAATGTTCATTTGTCGACTTGGCACGTCGCCAGGGCATTCTTCGTCGAGCAAACTGTGTGTATAGATATAGAGGAAAAAATCACCAAGGGTTTAATTAATATGTAACATGGCCACGGTTAGCTACTTGGACCGTTCGTTCGTATACGATAATATGAGTTGATCAGGTTGAGGAAGGTGTTTGTTGCGTCTCGCATAATCTGTACGGCGGCGACAGATTGGGCCGTTGGATGCCAGTTAGTGACTGTCAGCTATTCTTTCGTGCGTTCGCATGACGTCGCTCTTCGTGCCGTCAACCGTAGATGATGATAATGGCAATAATAATGGCGTTTCATGTCGTCACTCTATGTAAACTAAACACTCGAATAAGAAAGTTTTTAGCTAGAAAATGGGTAAAAAAAATCAATAGCGTTGTCGCTTACATGCATACGTTAGACGGTGCCGAGAGGCCACTTCGAACCACCTGGCCGTCACTGGATAATACCAACATGGGCATGACAATGCATAAGATAAAGCGCCAAGCTTGGGGAACACGCTATATATGTGTTCCACAAGTCCTACTCTAAGAATTAAGATTTATTTTTCATTTGGCTAAACCTGCACGTGTCCTGCTGTCTGCTGGATCCTTTTCTTGCACTAAGGATGTTCTTGCACTAAACTGTAAACACAGTAATACTGAGTCAGGTAATATCTACGAAAAGTATGAATAAGGAAGGACTGTTCTATAGTATAGAAATGTAAGGTAATTGTAGCTTCTGAACTACATCAAGTTTGTTATGCGATGATTATAGTGCAATTATCTTGCGCTATGAGCTCTAACAATGGCCTTGAGCAAAAATTTTACCAGGGATCAGTTATGATAAATAAACTAAATCGGTAAATTATGAATGAGCGTTTGAAACTGGTCCCTTGGGAAGGGACTGTCTACGTCGTTGTTAGTTCACGTTCGGCCTAAAACGTTAAAGTTGAATTATGCTTTAACGGAGTTTGGTACACTTTATGCACTAAAGCCATTTTCATTCGGAGAAATTAGTTGAAAGAACATATTACTAGTATTATCGCACACTACAAGATCCCTGTCTTATGGTTGTATAGTACGGCGCATAATAACGAAACCAGCACGGGTTTTTCTTCTATCGGATTATATCCATTACGCTCGTTCGCCTTGAGCCATCTTTAAGGTCTATTCATTTGGATCCGAAGGTCTGTTCTATTTGAATTTGTGTCCTACTGTATTATTAATCGAAAACTAGCGTGTTCGTCCACTCTTTTCTCGTCCTCTGTAAATAAGCAGCGCGGAACAGAACTAAATAAACTATTGGCGTTATTATTAAAAGCACTAGTATGGACTACACGATAATTGGCATAGATCTTCAAACATAAAAACCGATAAGCTTTAAAAGGGGCGTCCCTGATGACTCTTTCAATGCTACTTGTGTCGTTGATAGCACAAGCTCATTAGTTAGAGACTATGGAAGTTGTTACAATCATAAACTCTTCCAGTGGCTACTACGTTATGACTGCCAGGTGCTGCTGACCCCCTGTGTAATCCTTTCGGAGTCTTTATGGGGCGAAGGGTTTATTAATTTTATATATGCAGCGAAGAAAACTAGCTTGAACACGTTTAGTACTATTAGTTTGATTGTAAAACTTGAATGATATATACACACACTATTGTACTTGTTACTAAAATTACCCTGCTGGTGCTAACAGAAGCGCTAAAAATATAATTCTATATTCTTTCATCATCGTTTTTTAGTGAATTATCTAAAATCTAGAATACTTCCAGCTGTCGCTTCAAAGTTGACGGAATCGAGTTTAGCATTCAACAAAGTACACATACATCTGTCACGACAGAATGCTTAAATTTTAAATCGGACACTCATATCAGACCAGTCATCCACAGATCAAGTCTAGTCAGCTCCGTCTGTCCACTTTTAGACGCTGCGTCTGAAAATAACCGTCAAGGCCATTAGACAGAGCTCGACGTGAGTCCACCTCTAATTCACAAGTGATTCCTGTGTAGACTGATGCCATGAAATGTTATCTAGATTTATACGAATAGTAATAATAATTACATAGAGTCAGGTATTAGTACCGGCTGTAGAGGAAATGATTG